GGGTCGGTTCAGGGGCTTAACTTATGGTTTTGCCTTCAATCTAACCCTATTTAAACAGGTAAGCCCCTAATAAAAAATATGTGCATATAACTCCGTAAATTACAAGATTGCAGCAAATCAACACTCTTGTTAACTATATATAAAGAAAATAAAGAAAAGAAAAAACCTCATGTTAACAGCCGCTGTTTGTTTTAATTGAAATAATTTGAAACATTTGTTAGAATGATCAAAATAAAAATTGTGAAACTTTATCACAAATCATCGGAATTTAGAAAATTTTAATTGAAATTAATGGTTGGTATTATGCATCTATGATCTTTTTATTGATTTATTTGATTTTTTTTAACAAATTACAATTTGGGAGTGGGAGATTCGAATTTCAATCTTAGAGCGGGAGATGTACCTTCACAATAAGACATATAGTTATCAAACTAAGAAACGTATGTGCTATTGAGTTATTTGATTTGATTAGATATCAATGTTAGAATCAAATGAAAAAAATAAAAGAAGAATTAACTATAGAAATATAAACTTTTTAATATTTTATTAAAATTTAAGGACTAATTTGATTTATAATTTGACTAGTTTATGGATTAAATTGTAGTTTTTCCATTTGTGACTATCATGCCAGCTGTTTATTTTAATTGCCAGGCCCCTAAACTTAACAGGAAACTAACAGATGCAGTTAACATGAGGGTTGGTTTGCTGCAATCATGTCGTTTATGGGGTTACATGCTTGTTTTTTTGTTTAGGGGGTCATGTGCTAATGTCACGCCCCAAAACCAAGAGCGAAACAGACGCCATGCACTCGGAAATGGATCCCACAATGCACAAAGCTTGAAACTTACTGAATTCATAATTACTAATTTAGCTAATTCAAATTTAGAGACTCAGGTAATAACTAGTTTCTCTTTCTTTTTTTTTTTCTATTTATTTACTAGTCAAAATGTACAAGGATTTATAACTTCATGTATACAATCATGACTATAACTAAGGGAGTTCTGTACACAAAAATTTCTAAGTCGACATAGGTGACTAGCAGCCTAGCTACAAAAACCTAAGTCCAAATAATGCCTAGCCGTCTAGCTCGTCGCTCCTCTGGGCTCCCCATGCGTCGGGTCTCACTACCTGAAATGATGGACAAGGAAAATCGTGAGATAAAATATCTCAATAAGTAAATATGGATGCCCGGAATCAAAATTTAAAGCATGCCGAATAAACAGTTGAAACATAAACAGAGCATTTCAATAACAAACCATTAATGTAGAATAAAATTAAATAGTGGTCTCCTCTATTAGTCATGACCAGTGTTATAAACCTCCCATTAGCAGGCACACGATTACTAGTGTATAATCCCACTAGTAGGATAACACGAGCGAACCGATTTTATCAATAACATGTCAACATGTGCTAGCATTTATAAACCTCCCACTAACGGGCACACGAATAACACAACCATATCTAAGACAAAACCAAGCAAGATTTACAGAAAAACCACGATTCACAATCATTCTCATTTTCAAGAATAAACCGAAAGAATCACACGTGGGCATGCTCAATTCTAGAAAATAAGGAAAATAATAAAAGTTCCATTTCCATTTTTAATCATGCTCAAATGCAAATAAATCCATTTAAACCTCGCCACAATCTCAAAACAAGTTAAAATATGCTTTAAAATTTAAGGGCATTACCATAATTTACTTACCTTAATTGCACAGGACAGAAGGCTTAATCCAAGTGCTAGGGTGATAGGACGATCAAGGACCTAATCACAATATTTCCGAATTAATATCTATAAAGAAATTTTATTTCTTTATTTATTTTTATTTTTATTTTTATTTTTCTCCTATCCGAAATTTGAGCATTAACCGGGATTGGGTATTTATATATATACAAATAAATACATAGTTACACATATACAATTTTTTCCCAAATTCATGGACAGGAAATGGGAGAACCGGCTTGACAAAAAAATGGGCAAGTCACGGGAATTTCATAGGGTTTTCCTACAATTAACATCACAGCAATCACAGCAACCAAAATAAGCCAACTCCACATGAATTAACTAAAACACAATTTTAGAGCTGCCGAAATCTTCCATTTTTTTCTTGGCAGCATTCGGACAAACACAGGGCAGCCACACAAGGACCAAATTCAGCAAGGCAACCACCAATTAAATGAAATTTGGACTTAAAAGAGTTGCCACATACCAGAAAATCCAACAAGCAAAACAATTGGAGCTGGCGGCAAGGGAGGGTGGCGGGATCTTGGAGGGGAACTAGCATGCAATTGAAAGGAATAAGAACAATTAGAGTGAACCCAACATAAATCAAGGCTTAAGAGATAATTTCATGGCTGATTTTTACCAGGAAAACCGGAATTCACTCCAGCAGCAACCGGTGGCAGAGGGGGGAAGAAGACAGCTGATCTGGAAAATTTCTGGTTTAGGTAGAGTTTTAAGCTTTAAATCTTGTTGTTTAACAAGAAAAGAAAAGGAATTTACCAAGATCTTACCAATTTTTCAAGAGGAGTAGGCGGTGGTGGCTGGGCTTGGCTGAAGGCTTGTTCGGTGCAGGGGAGAAGGAAATGAGCAGACACGCGAAAATGGCTGGGAAGGAAAGAAAAAGAAAAGAAAAAGAAAAAAAAGAAAGAAAGAAAAAAAGAAAGAAAAGTTAGCCGGCCTTATCCAATTTGTTTTCTTTTTAAACCCCCTTATTTTAAAATTTTTTATTTTTAAGGCCAACAATATTATTCTCTCACGATTTAGTCCATAACTCACACTTATTTGTTTTTGAAATTTTTTGGGGGTATTACAGCTAAATAGGGTAAGTTTGAGGGCTTGACAATGAGTTTTGCCAATATGTTAAGGACACATTGATTATGACATAAATATGGGTCACCTTCAACATATTTACATATTTACAGGTGAAGCTTGAAATTGATTTCAGGGGGGAACATATTTACAGGGTGAAGCTAGAAATTGATTTCAAGGGCCAAACTACTATTTTGACTTACATTTATTGAAGATGAATTTTGTAAGGATTTGGACTTTGAATGAGATTAAAAATCATATTAAACCAAAATTATATGTCATATATATAGCCTAAAATTTATATTTTTGTATGTATCTAAATTTCAATTCTTAACATAATTATTATTACAAAATACTAATTTAAATATTCCAGATAATAATAAAAACTAAGATATTCTAAAAACTTGATATAACAATTTGTAGTCAATCTTATATTGCGACCTTTAGTTGGGGGACTATGACACAAATATCTAAAAATCAAGTAATATTATGCTAGCCACGTTAAATAAATATAAAATTCTCAAAAACAAAAGCTATTTAATTGTAAGGAATTAGCTAGTGATTTCTTGCATCTTGCAACAAAAATGATTATTAATTCACTGTATCTAGAAAAAAATATTTTTTATTTAAAATGAATGTCAAAGGGAGAAGAAAACATGTCATTTTATCAAACATTATATTAAAGAAATTTGAAAATTAAAATATGAAAATATAGAGGCCATTTGATTTTTTTGAATACTTAAGGTACTTTTTGAAAATTTTTCAAGAGTTGAGGGGGTGATGGCTTTCGCTCTAAGTAGTTTTTTTTTTTTTTTTTTTTTTTTTTTTTTTTTTTTTGTTCTTTTTACGCATCAGAGAACATATACTTAGTGAAACTCTTCTTTCTTTTAATACCTTTTTAATAATTTTAAATTTAAAATTTAAAATCTCTAATTTAAATTTTTAAATTTTTAATAACTTGAAATATCTCATTGGTGGCACTCCAAATAATTTAATTCAATGTGATAACCAAGATATTTGCAATACCATAGCAAATTCTAAAACCACTTAGTTATAAGTAGAGTAGTTTATATATGCATTTAAATAACATATATATGTTTCTTATCATGTTTTAATGTAAACTTTTTTCATTTAACATTATTTAGAACAGCTAGATCATGCCCACTACTAAGAATTCACAAGTACTTCCCTCCTCAAATCGTGTTTGAAGAGAATCCCGATCGGTCAATGAGTCCACCGACGAACTTTGGAATTGTTTGCTTCATTACCTTTTACATTCTAAATTTATCTTCTATTATCAAATTAAACAGTAAACCAATCTCATTGGTCACCTCTTAATCACTTTGGATTTGCATGACTAGGAAGTGATTTTGTCGTGGAAGGATTAAACATGGAGATCACCATCAAGATGAACAATCAAAGAAAATAAACAAATACAAGAAAGAAAGTGAATTAGGAGATTCGTCATTTTCATATCATTAAATTATTATCATGATTTCTAAAGTGGATATATTAATTCTGAAATATTTTTTTAAATGAGTACAAATAGACCAAACACATCCATTCTGTTGATTTCAGTTCATGCATTAGATTTTGGTGCATTCTGATTACGACATTCAGTGGAATGGTTAGTTCTTTCAAGTCTTTTTATTTGCCATAATCAAATTGTTTTATGACTTTGCAAGTTATTTCGTTGTCTTCGGCATTAGATAATATATTGCATATGAAAAACAACGACGTCGCCAAAACAACGAATCTAGATGTTGTCGCAATTCATTACTAATTGTAAGTCATTTTCTTCAAATTAAAAATAGGCTTTAGTTGTACTTACACTACTAGAAAACAACATATAAACGACAAAAATATAATTGACAGTAAAAAAACTATCGATTATACTCTTAAAATCGATAAAAATTTTATCAATTATATGAGATATGGTTGATAGCTAATTTTGTTGATTATATGAGTATAATCGACAGTTAATATTGGTTGTTGATTATGTTAAAATTAACATTCCTCTAATAGCATTTATAATTATTATATATTTTGTAAATCATAAATTTAATAACAAAAATTTAATATAATCAAATGTGAAATTTTTTTATTAATAGGTTAAATGCTAAATTTGGTCCCTCAACTTTAGTGAGTTGCACATTTTTGGTCCCTCAACAATTTTTTGTACTTTTTTGATCTTTATAAACTTTAAGAAATGCACTCCGTTAGTCCTTCTTTTAATTTCGATCGTTAACTCGCTCATGTGGCATTTTTTATTATTTTTTGATGACGTGGCAAAAACAAATTGAAAACATGTTGATGTGGATTTTTTTTTCATGATGTAGATTTTTTTTTTCATGCCAACTCACATAATTACTATTTATATTTTAAAAAAAAATTCGTCTTCTTCCTTTCTCTTCTTTCTTCCTCTTCTTCCTCTTCTTCCTCTTCTTTCTTCCTCTTCTTCCTCAAGCCAGGCCATTGAACCAAGTTTGCTGGGTT